TCAATAGTAAACAGTAAAATTGAAATATCAGTATCATGCAGAGATAGTATAATGAACCTGTTGCTAGTTTTATTTGTAGCTCTTAAAATCAATTTTTAAGCTATTAATCTCCTTATCTCTTAAGTATCATACAAAGCTACATCTTTTTTTAGAGCAAATTTCGTGGATAAATCATATCTTCTAAAATCATTAATTGTTTAATAATCCTAATCTGTCAATGTAAAAGGCATTTTCAATCCATTAGTATAAGCCATTTAAATTTCATCTAGTACTCAGTCAGTATTTCCAATTTAATTAGTCTTGTTTAAACCCAATTCAATTCTCTTTAACAACTAATTTACTCTCTAATCAATTGCTTTAAATTCATCAGTACTGCTAGAGAGCTTGTTCAATTCATCTATTATTTAATCTCTAAAAGGACACTCTTCGTCAGGTATAAATTAGCTCTTTGCAAAATTGTAATAAACAAATAATTGAAAAACATGTGGTTGAGCATGATGGTCCTAAGAAATTTATTCACCCAAATCTTTATTTTCTTGCAAAAGCAAATTTTCATAATCCTTATCAGTATTAATCTTTATTGGTAGAACTGCTCTTTTTTGTTAAATTGGTGATAATTTCAAGTCTTTCATATGTTTTTAGATGTCAGGATAAATTCCTGAAAATTATGAAACTGCAGATGAGTAAGTTCTTTCTCTTAGAGTTGAGTACAACTCAATCTATTCTGCATTATACTCAGAGTCGAGCAAATGCTATTTTTCTATGTATCTATATCTGACCTCTCTTCCTAACAAGTAGTGCTGCCTCATCCCGACATTAGTAACCATACTTAGTCCCATTTCCCAGTACGTTTAAGTAAGATTATCATCCTAGACGATAGGGGATCTTGCTCCATGTCTGGATACTTCTATTACCATCAATAATTAATCTTTCTAAAGAGTTAGTTATGCAAGATTCAAGATCATCAATAAGCTGAGAATCAGCCATTTATTATTTTAGGCATGGTAAGTATATTTTGAGAAATAGTAGACCATATTTAAATTTGATTTAAATTAGTGAAATTTTAATTCCTGTAAATTATTTGGAATCTCGATTTCATACTCAGGGGTTTTGGGGTTTTGGGGTTTTGGGG